ATTAATCAGGCATTAATGAAAAAAGAAGAAGATTATAAAGGGGTTTGGATTAAAAAAAATATTTCAAAATGGGATTTTTGGTTAAACATAATAAATCTGAGAGGTTGCTGAGAGGTTATTGGAAAAATACAAAATGAGGGAAGAAGGGATCTTTCAGGCAAAATCAAGCCCAGGGGTTCAGGATTTCATCTTCTGTGCTAAAAAGTCTGGAAATAAATAAAAAATCCAAGAAATTTGGGGATTTTGCATGGAAAACAGGGATTTTATTTACCACAGAAGGGAAGGAGGAGCCATCAGATCCCATCTTGTGCCACCCCTGTAAAAAAAACACCAAAAAAGCACTAAAGCCTGTTATTTTGTGGGAAAAATCCATGTGACCTCTGAGGCTCCAGAAGCCTCAAGTCACCCCCAAATCACCCCAAAATGTCTTTTAATACACTAAAATACCTCTTTTCACCCCACAGAAACCTCCTGGGGCTTATTTTGGCTCCCACTACCCCCAAGTCCACACCAAACATGCCAAACTCTAAAAAGTTTGTCCAAAATTACCCAAGTTTGGATCAAAATTGTTTTTCTTCCCAAATTCTCCCACTTTGGGTCAAAATATTTTTTCTCCCAATCCCCCACTTTTGGTCAAAATGGAATTAAACAGGGATTAAGTATCCCTCCCCCCATTCTTCTCCTCACCTTGAGGCCACATCACATTCTCCTTCTATATCAGATTCACTCCAAAATCAGATGAATTTTAAATAAAATCACCTGGATTCATGTCAAAATGGGGTCAAAATTCTGACACAGCCCTCCCACCTACCCCTGATGCCCACTCCGTACCAAATTTCCACCAAATCCACACTAAAACTTCACGGAAAGGATTAATTTTTCTCCAACTCCCCCTGCCCCCAGTTTCGGTATATGGATATTTTTTTTCTCAATATCCTCCAAATTTGGATCAAAATGGGGCTTAACATCCAGGAAAACCCTTCACTCATCTTGTTCCACACAAACCCTCCCAAATACTCAATTTGGCCTCAAAAAGGGGAAGAAAAATCCCACTGAATTTTTGGCATGATGAGGGGGAAAAAATCTGAAATTTGGAGGAAAAGTGCACAAAAAAGGGGAAAGCCCTGAGATCTGGGGGGATATGGGCAAATGTTTTATTTTTTTACTGTGGAAAAAAGTGTTTGAAACTCAACATTTTAGAAGAAAAATTATGGAACTTTTGGGGAAAAGAAGGAAAAAAGCCCTAAAACTGAGGAAGGGAAAGGGTAAAAAATTCTGAAATTTGGGCAGATAAAATCCTCAATTTCTGCCTGTCACTAAACAATAAGGAAAACCAGGAATAAACAGGGAACGAAGCCTCCCCATTCTTCCCCACTCACTGGCCCCTTGGCTCTTGAATTCCTGGGCTCCTGCGGACACATAGTGTTTGTACCAAAGTCACTCCTTTTATACCCAAATAAAAAATACTCAAGCCACAGCCAAACCATGCAGATTTGGGCAGATTCAGCAGAATTTCAAGATGGGGGTGGGGGGCATGGCCCACAGTTCCCGAGAATTTGGGAGCTGGCAGCTGGATCCTGTCACGGATGGGAAATGATGGGAGTGGAACCCACAAGACATTTGATAGATGTGAGTGACAGGGATGTCATGACAGGTGTGGGACCCACAACAATCATCCCAAATTTCCTGAACTCCCAGAATCGCTGTCCCCATGGTGGCCTCTGCCCCATGACAGCAGGGAAAGGACACCACCAAATCCAGACGTTTTTTACCCAAAATTAATGACCCAAGTCCCAGCAGAGAATCCAGGGTATGGGAAATTCTGGCCCAAATGACTGAAAAAGCTGAAGAAAACCACATGGAACCAGGAGAGACGACGGCAAACAGGGAATTAAAGGGCTTTTGCCTTAAAATAAAGATATAAAAATAGGGAACCTCTGAACTCCACAGAGATGCTCAAAACTCTCCAGAGACAGAGACCCCACCCCCAAAGCCATCCAGGGACCCCCAAAACCACCCAGGGATCCCCTCAGCCCTCTGAACCTCCCAAACCACAAAGTCCCTGAGGGGCCATGGGGGTCCCAGGAAGGGTTTTGGGGTTCCTGGTAAGTGACATGCAGAAGAGAAATTTTCAGTTGCCCTGAAGGCAATGGATGGAGCTTAAAGACTAACTGGCAAAAAAGCTGGAAGGATGTAAAGGTGTGCACAGAGGATCACAAGCACAGCTGGAGCCAGTGGACAAATAGGTAATGAGGAATATAGCGGGGTTTTTGTCAAGTTACGTAACTGGACATGCCCAAGGAAAACGTTCAAGGAAAGGTCATGTGTAATATGGAAGCATTCCGTGAATGTGATTCGAACCAGAGACCTGTTCGTGGTCCCTCCAGGACCATACCCTGTGGCAAAGTTTTATCGCACACATCAGATTAAAGGAGAAATCCTTCAGTGTGTTCTGCGCAGACAAAGAACGCTTGCTTTCTAATGCTTCAAATGGTGTTAGAAAGTTTATTTGCCAGCCAGTTTTGGTATCATTCCCTTGCACGGGCTTACAGATGTAAGGTGAGCTGAGAGAGTCCTGCCGGGCTCTGGGAGGGTTTGGAGTTCCTAGGGGAAATTGGAGGGGGGTCCATGGGGGATATCGGGGGGTCTCTGTCAGCGGGATCCCAGCTCTCNTTCATTTAATTACATTTCAGATGTTCATGGGATGAGGTTTGGGATGAGGTGGACAGTGTGGTGAAAAGATAAGGGATCATTTCCTAAACTCACCATGATTTTTCCAGGATGTTCCCTGCTGATGCTGATGGTCTTGTTGTAGACTTTGACTGTCACCACAGTGATGGATGACACAAGGCTGTCACTAAGGTTGCCTTTCTGCATCCAACACCTGGCATCCCACCAAATTTTGAGTTTCCTCACACAACCCTACCAACAGGTAGGACACACACATGCCCTGGAAGATGAACCCCTTGCCATCAAAGGTCTCATAGTGGGTGGCTCCAACAGCAGTGCAGACCCCAAAAATTTTGGGATAACAATCCTGGATCCTCTCCTCCACCCAGCGTCCCTCCTCAGTGCCATAACCAGAATCCCGGCACACTGTCTGCCGCTGTCACACACACAGTGTTGGATGCAAGTCAGGTCACACCAAAATTCCTCGCCAAGGCCATAGAAGAAACCCTGAATGACACAGCCACATTCAGAAGGGGCGATTCAGGTGTTGGCATCAAGGACAAGGCTCTCGTGGCACACGCAGGTGTCCACACAGGTGGTGACAGCAGCACAGCTGGATGACACAGCAGGGATGTTGCAGATAGGGAGGCAGGCGAGGCCACAAGTGCTGTAGGTGCTGTTGGGCGGGCAAGTGAGAGCTGGACAGGGAGGGAGACAGTGGTCAGGGTGGGACGGCACATGGTGGGACAGACTTCTTTGACTATCTACACAAATACCCTGCAGACTCCATGGATTTTATGGAGTCTCCATGGACTTTCTAGCCCTTCTACCTGGACTTTCTGGAGTCTCTGCGGACTTCCTGCTCAGACTTTCTAGAGACTCCACGGACTTTGTGGACTTTCTACGTGGGCTTTCTGGAATCTCCTTGGAGTTCCATGGATTTCCTGATTGGATCTGCTGCTATGGCCTTTCTCAATCCATGATCCCATGGATCTTTAGTCCCACATCAATTAGCCTCCACCCACCCCAAGGAGTACTTTCACCCAACCATCCTCTACTCACAACATTCCAGCTGTTTCCTCCAGTGGGAAGCACTGATCCTCTCCTCCTGGCAGTCATCAGCATAGATCTCAAAGAATGGCACAGGGCATTGCGATGCCCCTCATTGGCACACAGGTCATAGATACAGTTCTTCACATAGATATTGGGACTGATAGTGTCATGACACGACTGGAATGGCCCAGAATGTTGGGACAACTTCCCACACCAGGTCTCTGCCTTGCGTGTAGAATGCACCTGGTCCCATCTGCACCGCCCACAGTCACCATCACAGATGTCCTGGCAGTGGCCACTCTCACTGGTCGCCTTCCAGCTCCACCCAAACTCCACAATATCCCACACTTGTTTTCCATCAGGAGAGAGAGTGTCATCCTGGGGATCCCCATTGTTGTTCCCACACATTCCGCAGTTGTTTCTAGAAAGAGGAGCTGGAAGTTTGATCACTACATGATCATCCCAGCTGTAGAGGACCTTCAGCTTGAAATTTGATTGGATCAACGTGGATTTACCCTTCCGGTGGATGTGGACCTTCCCGTGGGAGAGGAAAATGGGGAGGCACAAGTGGTGGTTGCTCACCTGGAGGACAACAACAACCATCAAAACAACCAAAATGCATCAAAACTAGGCATGGAGTTCAAGAAGACTGGAAGTGTTTTCATACGAGGGTTACCTGCACACCAGGAAATCTGGGAATTATTTAGGAAAAGACCCTCAAGATCATTGCTAAATATGTAATTGCAGCAAAATTTAAAAAAATTGGGAAATTATGATGGTTTTTGCTTACCCTCACCATCCCATTCTCTGACTGGACAGCAGTGACAGTCATGTTGTCGACTTGGATGGTGATGGAGCCGATGCAGGAAACTTTGGAGTTCTCCTTTTCCTCCTTTTTGACCGCAAGAGAGAGAGCAGGAAAGGTGGGATCAGGATTGCAGATGGTGGTCAAGGTGTAGGCACATGCTCCCATGAAATCAAAGGTTTTTCATCAAAACTGCAGTGGTGTGGCCCATCAGAGAGCCAACAGGTGGAGAAAGTCTCCTGGATGCACTCTGGTTGGTCCAGCCACCATCTCACACCTCTCCTCACATACCAAAATCCTCACAGGAGACTGGTGTGGGGACTGAAAAAAAGGGGAAAACCCATTAATGGTCAACTGCACAACACCCAGCCATTGGGGTGACACAACAATGGACTGACTGTATTCACTGGCAGCACAGAGCCCCAGGAAACCATATCCAGTGTGAGTCTGGAACCCAAACACCAGGAGCCCAATGGACACCTGTGAGTTCTCAGCACTCTGCATCACTGCACTCATGGTGATGCTGGCCCAGGAGAAATCTGTGCCAGGAATGGCCTGCCATGCCATGGTGTTGTCTGGCCAATGGGTGAGGGTGGTGGTGGCAGTGGCGGGTGCAATGAGGATGGCATGGCTGTACTGGCTGGGCACACTGCTAAAGCGGAATGCAGGGCAATGGGCGGTGGCAGGTGGGACAACAAGGAAGAAGGGATCTTGCCAAGATGACCCACTGAAGAAAAACACCACCTGCACTGCCACTATGCACTGATGTTCGGGTGGGAGTTACGGTTCACTGTTGAGGATTTTCTGCAGGTTGAGGATTTTTTGCAAGACAATGGCCACGTTCAGCTGATGCACAATCCAGCCTGCTTGTAATAATGGATAATGGACACGTTCACAAACAATGGATAATGGACATATTCAGAAATGGAGTCAGTATGTCCTTGAAAAAGATACAAGAAGAAGAGTCATCAGGACTCACCAAGTTTGTCAGCAAGCTTGAGAAAGGGAGAAAAAAGAGAAGCCATGGGCGGACCAGACAACCACAGCAAGACGTGTGAAAAATTAGCTGATCCAATCAGCATTCTATTTTAGACGCGTGAACAGCTAGGATTAACCAATCATGTATTAGCTATAGACACGTAAACAGTAGAAACTTATTATAAATATAGCCCTTTTAGGAATAATAAATTTGGCTTCACTGGACCATATTGGTTATGGTGTGATGTCCCTGAACCTCTGCACCCCACAGTTCACCACGAACATCTGCACCTCCCCTACCGCCATGGCCACAGTGGCATTCCTGCTCCCGGTGCTGCAGTTGATGGTGTTGTCTTCATGCGTCACCACATAAACGAAGTCAGCCTCTGTCTGCAGTGGGTTGGGCGGCCACACGTAGCTCCTCCCCCACACTGTCTTTGGGAGGAACTGCTCCACCACAAAGTCAAAGCCAACAGATACCTTGACACAGGTGTGGCCACTGAGGACAACCACAATTGTTCCAGTGAAGTCCTGGCTGCTCTGGAGCTGCAGGCTATGCTAGGGCTGCAGGAATAGGTGGAGCACAGCAACGGGGACATATGTGGCCCCACCCCAGCACAGTGGAAAGTGGTGCTGGTGGTGATGCTAATAGTGATGGTGGTGGGGTCGGTGGCCACCACAAACTCAGTCAGGCCATAAGTTTAGTTGCCAACCGGTGTCACACATAGTACCTGGTGCCCAGGCTCTCCATAGGCAGGAGGGCAGTGGCACCCACAGTGTAGCCATTGGTGCCGACAGACGTCACAGAGATGTCAGCACTGGCCTCAACCACCAAGGTTTTATGGGAAGTGTGGCTTCCATCACGTTCCAGGCTAGCAGGAAAGGGCAAGGGCACAGTGACATCTGGCCTCAGGGTGATGTTCCAGGTGATGGAGCCGCAACAGAGCGTCACTGACACTTGGGTGTCAGCAGGGCCATAGGAGGTGAGCAGCAGCTGCAGGTACATGCTGGGGGACTCGTCGTTGTTCTGTGGGAACACGGCCAGGAACTCCCAGCCCTGGTAGCTGGCACTGGAGAGTGCTGGGAAAACGGGGAGAAAAAGGGGGCCTTGGTTAATGTTTATATTAACCAAGGGGGTTATATAAAGGGGGCTTTTATATTTTTATGTCAATTCTATATGTGTTTATACATCAATTTCCCTATTTTACAGTAGGAATTGTACTGAAATTACATTAAAGATATGGCTGCACTATACAATTTCTAGAGTCTATTTTTGTATATTATCAAATTAGAAATTCTATTTACAGCTTGTTATGTTAATAAACAACATTTGTATTCTATTAACAAATTATTAAAATATATTAATGTGTTAATAATATGAAATAATGTATTATTAACTAGTATTAATTATATAAAATACTATTCCTTTAATACAACAATATTAGTAGATATTTATAT